CTGGCCTCCACCAAACTGCAACAAAAAATGCTGGGCGTTGTGGCAGGCACTTGTAGTCCTAGATACTTGGGAGGCTGAGGCAAAAGAATTGCCTAAGCCCAAGAGCTGGAGGTTGCCGTGAGCTGTGATGCCACAGCACTCCACCAAGGGTGACAAAGTGAAACAGAGTCTCACTAAAAAAAAAAGAAAGAAAAAAGAAAAGAAAAGAAATGAGTTATTTCTCTGTCAAGTGTCTGGAGTGTAGACTGAAGTGACATAATCATAGGTCACTGCAGCCTGAACTGGACTCAAGCAATCCTCCTGCCTCAATCTCCTGAGTAGCTGGGACTACAGGTACATGCACCACCACGCTGTACTCAGGGCTTCTTTACAGACTCGTAAGGCAAAGCCCGGACAGGCTGAAAATAGGAAATGAGGCAGGCAGGTGAGGGAACGCTGAGGCTGCTGTCCCACACTGTGCTGCAATGCCTTTGCCACTGCAGGCGATAGGACAGCATTAGCCCAAATACAGCCCTGCCAGCTGACCCAGAAGCTGGAGGAGTGGGGTCAGCTAGCTTGATACCTGCCAGGTCTTCATCCTGGGGCTGGCTGTAGTCAGATGGGGAGGCCAGAAGACCCTATTACCAGAGCAGGTCCAGGCTCCACATTGAGCACACAGCAGAGGTCAGGGTGGGAACCTGTTTACACACAGCCAGAGGAGGCAGAGTCCTGGCTGGACCTGGGGGACTGTCAGTCCCATCACCTTCAGTTCCTGTCCATGCCCCAGTTGGTGTCTGGCCAGTCAGTCCTTGGGGCCTTGGCATGCCTGACAGTCCTTCATGTCCTCGGAGTAGTCCTCGATCTGGATGGTCATAGTGTGGAAGTGGAACCTCCTCTGGAGAAGGCTGCTGGCTGCCTTCAGCACAGCCTGGGCGTCTGCATTCTGAGCTACGGGGTGAGAGGGCACATCAAAGGCAGCATCAGAGAACCATTTACTCTCAGCCTGTCAGAACCCCCAGGAGCTCAAACACCCCACTCCCAGCAGAAAGCACGGGTGACCATGAACATCAAGAAGCCCCCAGATTCCACTCCTGCACCAGGCTCCCTTCCAGGATCAGGCCCAGAACACGCCTGAAAGAGCTGGCAAAGTGTCAGCCTTAAGGCTAGGAATCTGTCACCTTCTGCCACTTAGCTAAAAAAGCCTGGGAAAGTGACTTTAGCATCCCACCTCACCCCTGCCTCATTTTATTTGTGGATACAAGACTAGGATGATCATGTGGAATCATGTGTACAGTATCATTACACTCAGCACAGGGCTGGGCTTGACACAGGGACCCTCAAGCACCTGGGGTCATCTGGCCCCACTGAGGATGGCCTCAACCAGGGTGCCTCTCTCAATCACCGCCCTGGGTATCCCAACAACTCACCAATGGCAATGTGGACAGAAAGCACCGGCTGGGCCACAGTCAGTGCCCAGATATGCAGACTGTGCAAGGCTTCCACCCCCTCCACGGACAGTAGCAGATCCTGCACCGCTGTGAAGTCCACGCCCTTGGGGGTCCCTGAGGACAACAGGGACAGGGTCTGAAGGAAACAGCCCCTCCCATTCATGCCCATCCATGCAGGGCTGCTCTCTAGTGTCATCTCTTCAGAGAAGACCTCTTTGGCCAATAGGTTCAAGGTTACCCCTGCCTCCCAAACTCCCTGCGATGTCACCTATTGTATTTTCCTCCTCAAACTTAACAGTGTGTGAAAATTATTTGTTAATTTGCTCACTGTTGACCTCTCCCTCTAAAATGGAAACTCCCTGAGGGCAAGACAGTCTGTTCTGTTTACTGTTGTATTTTCAGTGCCTAAAACAATG